GCCTGCCAGGTCACTCCTTGTCCTGCACTTAACCATTCAGAACCACTTTATGTGATTATGACAAACGATCTCAGGCTTGTGGTTATATAAAATGGCTATTTTCCCCCTTGCCTGGTGTTATGAACTGAATTGTGTTTCCCCAAAATTCATACTTGATTGAATTGAAGCCCAACTTCCACTACCTCATAATGTGACTATTTGGAGATAGGGACTTTAAGTTAAAATGAGACCTTTAGGGTAGGTCTTAATCCTATCTGACTGGTGTCCTTACACGAAGAGGAAATTTGAGTTGAGGAGAGGTAAGGAGAACTAGAAAGGGACATGTGTCTGTTACTTACATAGCACTACCTTTAATAGTAACCCAAGAAGGCTTGGCAATTTTTACTTATTTAACATTCAGTGTAGGCTTTTTTTGTTTGTTTTTGGCTGTTACTGTTTCTCTGATTGTTGCTGCTCCTGGGGTAGTAGCAGCCTTCCAAATGCTAGGTCTCTAGTAAGGTGCATGTATGAGTTCTTGTGGGGGGCCCTGTGGCCGAGGAGGTCTTCCCAGTCGTACAGATTCCATTCTCTTAAATGGCAGATTCACTCCTACTCCCTTCCAAACTCCCCTTAGCTCCCACTGGAATGATAAGTACACACTGTTTCCGATGTTTGCTCTGGGGAGGCACTGGCAAGAAGGCTCAAGGCCAGCTACTTCCAGTGGTGCCTACTGGACCCACGGGACACTCATGTCCTTGACCTAAGAAATCTTGGGAAAACAGGTGTTTCACCATTCTCCCCTACTTCGCTCACCTTTTTTTTTTTTTTTTTTTTTTTTTTAAAGAGATGGGCTTTTGTTCTGTTGCCCAGGCAGTGGCTTGATCATAGCTCACTGCAGCCTTGAATTCCTGGGCTTAAGCAATCCCCCCAATTCAGCCTCCAGAGTAGCTGGTGCTGTAGGCACACACTACCACGCCTGGCCCTCCCCCTCTTCTTGATATTTTTTTCCAGCTCTCTTTCCATCGGCTCAAATAGCTCCTGTTTCCTTGGCAGGTGCCTTCAGTTTTTGCAAGTGATTCTCTTAAACATTCTCTTTACTTCCCTTGGGGGTGACTTGGGGAATAGTACTCCTTATGACTTTGGCAAACTCATTCTTTGTCTCTTTCTGTCCCCTCATTCCTTCCCATCCCAAATGCATCCATATACACTTCAGCTTATAAGGACTGTGTGATGAGGTGAAGGGTAAAGAGTAGTGGTGGACTGGAGTAATTATTTCAGGGTAGCTGTCTCTTCATGAACAGTGAAGGGGTATTTATACCCAATGTATTTTTCATTTTCTTTTTTTGAAACAAAGTCACTCTTTTGCCCAGGCTAAAGTTGCAGTGGTGTGATCATAGCTCACTGCAGCCTCAACCTCCTGGGCTCAAGTGATCCTCCTGTCTCAGCCTCCCGAGTAGCTGGGACTACAGGCGCATGTCACCACACCCAGCTAGTTCTTAAATTTTTTGAGACAGTCTCACTGTGTTGTCCATGCTGTTCTCAAACTTCTAGATTCAAATGATCCTCCCACGTCAGCCTTCCAAAGTGCTGGGATTACAGGTGTGAGCCACTGCGTCCAGCCTTCATTTTCCCTCGAAAGTGGGATACTTGTTTTTAGTCTTTGAGCAACAGAGAAAGTCCCAGTTAACATCCTGTTACATGAATATAACATCTTTGTAAAGAGATGCTTATTCATTCTCTTTGGTATATGTTATCCTAAAATTTAGAAATAAAATGTTTCTTAACCTACAGTAACTTCAATTTATCAGTAGTTAAATTCTATAGTAAATATTTGGAAAGAAAGTTTGAGAATGAAAAGAAGTTAGCTGGGTGCAGTGGCTCACGCCTGTAATCCCAACACTTTGGGAGACTGAGGTAGGCAGATCACTGAGGTCAGGAGTTCAAGACCAGCCTGGCCAACATGGCGAAACCCTGTCTCTACTAAAAATACAAAAATTAACCAGGCATGATGGCCAGTGCAAGTAATCCTGGCTACTCAGGAGGCTGAGGCATGAGAATCGCGTGAACTGCACCTCAGGAGGCTGCAGTGAACCAAGATTGCACCACTGCATTCCAACCTGGGTGACAGAGCGAGACTCTATCTCAAAAAAAAAAAAAAAAAAAAAAAAAAAAGCATAAGCAACTTTAGGACTCCAACTATAGCTCTTGGTAAATCTCTATTTTTATACCATCTTTAAGAAACTTTATAAATAGCACACTTGAAGTTGAAAATAAAGGGATCATGAGATGGAGCTTTGAAACAGCCTACTTTCAGTTTCAAAGAAGTTAAACAGGTCCTTTGTTGACACACACTCTTCACTTGTTTTGAGAGCATTTTCTTGGTAGAAAGTAAAAAGACATTTTACACTCTAGTTTGTCTTACATTTTTTCAAACCTGGTCAAGTAAAAACTTGGCATATATTGAAAAGTAAACAAATATTGAAAGTATCACAAATGAAAGCTTTTAGTTTACCTTGGATTTCTTAACCAGTTGTTAACGCTAAAAGTGTTCCAAAAAGAGAAAACAAAAGATGGAAAATTAAATTTTAAAATTTTAAAGTTGGAAAAATATTTGAAGAGCTTCTTAAGAACTGTGTGGAAATTCATGTCTAATTGCTAAAAGACTGGTATAAGAAATAGTTTCTATCCAACCTTCATTCATGGAACAGTTTTGTAACTTCACATATTAGATAACTATTGTAATTACATATTTCAGAATATAATCATTTATTAATATTCTAACAATTTATGGGGAAATTTTATAATTAAATGCTAAATTTGCTCTTTGACAAGTGTTCCTTTGATTTTGAAAAATTCATTTATCACTTATTAAATGCCAACCACGTGTTAGATGCTGTTAAATTATTTGGGTCTTATAAGGTTGTGTAAAACATGGTTCTTTTCTCAAAATGCTTCCAGATTGGTAGGGGTGTCAAACATGTTCATTCCTATCATGGGATAGAAACCAGTAAGTGAATCAAGGGTTACGGAAATTCAGAGAAGAAAGAAACCTTTTCCAGCAGAGGAAATGAGAGAAGGCTGTCCTAGAGGGGGTGGAATTTGACCTGTCTCTTAATGAGTAGATAGAATATACAAGTCTTGTGTTTACGAGAATTAGCATTCCAGGTGGATGGGGTATTATAAGTAAATGTATAGAGGAGGGGGAAAAACAGCTTAAGAGAAAATGACCATAGCTCAGTTTAATGGGTGCATAAGGCAACCAAAGACGTTAGTAGAACATGTAGCTGAATACATAGGCTGTGGCAATATGACGGGATGTGTCTGTGATGGGTGGGAAACCTTGAATTCCAGGCTGAGGAGTTTAGATTTTGTGATAGACCAGGTAAAGGAAGAGTGAAAGGGTTTTAGCCAGGGGAAGGAAGAAGGGAGTTGACATGGTTCGAGAGAAATGGGGCAAATTAATGGACGGGGTGGGGGGAAGAAGAGATTAGAGGGAAAAGGAGCCTTTGGAACTGGAGAGATTGATGTTGTGAGAGGGTACTTGAGGGTAGAAGTTCCCAGGAGACAAAAGTTGAGATAGTAGTGAAAGCCTGAGATAAAAGGGTGAAAGACTGAAGAATCGAATAAGACAATGAATGATGTAGTCAATGTAAATGGGAGGCTAAAGATGGAGAGATTTAGAGATAGGAGGGGGCAGTAGTGGTGATAGGATTTAAATGCATTCATCCTGGTTAGCCTCAATATTTTTCAAAATAATATTAGAGATTTGGGCATCTTCGGAGAATGACAGGAGAGTGGAAGAGAATGAAATGGTCCACTGTGGTATTTAGACTGGTTTGGGGGGAAGGCACGACAAAAAGGCATTTTGTCTGACAGTGAGACTGGAAGGCCGTGGAGGGGCCAGAGATAACTGAGGATGAAGGGAAAGTGACAGAGAATAACACAAGAATTTAAAAGGACTGGGCTTGGCTGGGCATGGTGGCTTATGCCTGTAATCCCAGCACTTTGGGAGGCCGAGGTGGGCAGATCACGAGGTCAAGAGATCAAAACCATCCTGGCCAACATGGTGAAACCCCGTCTCTACTAAAACCACAAAAATTAGCTAAGTGTGGTGGTGCACACCTGTAGTCCCAGCTGCTCGGGAGACTGAGGCAGGAGAATTGCTTGAACCCTGGAGGTTGCAATGAGCCGAGATCATGCCACTGCACTCCAGCCTGGTGACAGAGCGAGACTCCATCTCAATCAATCAATCAATCAATCAGTAAAAGGACCGGGCTCAGGCCTATAGTAATGCTGGCAGTTTTGGAGGCCGAAGAGGGAGGAGCGCTTGAGTCCAGGAGTTTGAGACCAGCCTGGCAACATGGCAAGACCTCGCTTCTACAAAAATAAAATATAATAAATAAACAATTACCTGGGCATGACGCACACCTGTGGCTTCACCTATTTGGGAGGCTGAGCTGGGGGAATCACTTGAGCCTGGGAAGTCGAAGCTGTAGGAAGCCATGATTGCGGCACTGCGCTCCAGTGACAGAGCAAAACCCCATCTCAACAATAACAACAAGGAATTTAAAAGGAAATCATGGGGTAGAGAAAAACATGGTGTGTGAAACATCCTGGATCAGACTGATCTGGGTCCCCACAGACCCTGATTCCTCGCTCCTCAGCTCTGTGAACTTGGCAAGTCAGTAACCGTTTCCTCATCTGCAAAATGATGGCATTACCCACTTTATAGTATCGTTGAGATGAATGAGGTTTTATGCATCCTCACCCCCATCCATCTCCACCTCTGACATATATGAAGTGTTCAATAAATAGTTTTTGCTTTTTATTTTCAGAGCATTTTTCTCAGCATTTGAGAAGTTGGCAGCCATCCAAACAGAGATGATGAGATTCTAATCTTAAACAGCTAACCAGCAGCTAGCCTTGTAGCTACAGAAGGTAAAAGGGTGTAGTTTCCTGGGTTTGATGAATAACAATAGGTGGATGACTCTTTCCCTGCACTGTTATATGGGGCTAAAAAGTTTAACAAGTTCAGCTATTTTTATTAGTGTAGACTTTAATCAAACAAAGCCACCTGTGGACGAAGGACGTTCTTTGCAAAGTTGTATTGAAAAACAATTGGTCCAGATTTAGCTAGGTCAAACCTCCAACTAAAAATAAATTAAATCTGGTTACAACAGCAACAATAATGAAAACAAAACAAAGCTTGCTAATAAAGATTTTAAAGCCCAAATCTTTACACAACACAATTCACTGCAAGAAAGTAAAGTCAAAATGCTGTAAGAATTACAATGGGATTTTACCAATTGTTAGTGTTCAAATTCCTCAAGTAAACACAAATGGAAATACAAGTCTGGACACCAGTGACCCACAGATACATACATGTACTTTTAATAATTAGGAAATTAGTGCTCAATACTGTGCCCTTTGTGTGGGAGAAAACATTCTTTATACAAGGATTGTTACCTAGCTATTACAATAGTTTAAGGTAATGTACAATATATATTTGACACAGAGAGTGTTAGATGTTCACACTGCATAAAATGAATCCTCTAGCCTTTGATGTCTTCAAAAGAAGTTTTACAACTATTAGTGAAGCTAAGGCACTACATATTTTCCCTCCACAATGTGGATTTGTGTCATTTAAACTGAAGAAGTTGATCTCGTGTGATGACAGGTATGTCTGAAGAGGCGTCGTTCAGAGTCATCTATCCTCTTGGCATGCCAAGGCAAGAGGAAAGCATTCCTCAAACCAAAGAAATCTTCCAACCAAAACGGGTAATATTTAGCCTAATTTCTTACAAAAGCTTGTAAACAGGTGTTTTTTTCTGTCCTTCACCACCATGAGTTGGGAATCTATGCCTGTGGGCCAAATCTTGTCTGTGCCTGCTGTTTTTGTAAATAAAGTCTTATTGGAACACAGACATGACTGCTTGCTTATTTTGGCTGTGGCTGCCTTTGTGCTACAATGGCAGAGTCAAGTAGTTGTTAACAAGGACCTTATGACTTAAAATATCTACTTTCTGGCTCTTTACAAAAAATATTTGCTGATCCCTGATCATGTGGTGAAAATTTGATTTTGGAGGCAGAGCCATGTTACAGAAGCCCGACCTCCAGGAAGGGATCTGGTGAGACACATACAATGTCACAGCTAAGTCAAAGGGGGAGCATCTTCCCAGTGGCCTGGTGTCCAGGCACATGCTAGGCACTCAGTGGGTGCTTAATCCATTTGCTCAGTGAATCCTGAGGATTTGCTTTGCCAATTGGGTAGAAAGATAAGATTCTTTTGAAAGAAGATTAACCTGCCGAGTGCGGTGGCTCATGGTTGTAATCCCAGCACTTCGGGAGGCTGAGGCGGGTGGATCATTTGAGGTCAGAAGTTCGAGACCAGCCTGGCCAACATGGTGAAACCCGTCTCTACTAAAATTACAAAAATTAGCCAGGTGTGGTGGTACATGCCTGTAATCTCAGCTACTTGGGAGGCTGAGGCAGGAGAATTGCTTGAACCTGGCAGGCGGAGGGGAGGCAGATGTTGCAGTGAGCCAAGATTGTGCCACTGCACTCCTGCCTGGGCAACAGAGTGAGACTGTCTCAAAAAAAAAAGAAAGAAGATTAACCATGTTCATAGTTGTCAAAGGTAGCAAGTGACCTTTTCATCCCGATTTGCCCAGAACAGGACATGCCTTAGCCATGTTTTGTTTTTAATATCAATTCGGTAATTAAAAGAAGTTACAGATGATATGCATTTTTAACATAGTCTAACTGCTCTGGTAAATGGATCATTGGAATTTTCACATTGTAATAGTAGCTGGAGGCTTTTGTGGTTCATCAGTTGAGAAACCCACATTAGACCCACTTTTCATTTGAGCCATTTCTCCATATGCCCACTATGTATCAAGAGGGGTACCAGATGCAGGGAGTCAGTGAGCTTTCTCATCTCATCTTCCTTGTAGACAATTACTTCTTCCCTCCACATCCCTCCTTTTCCAAAAGCAGAATTGGCAACCCCTGACCAAGGAACTTGACCCGGAATGTCACTGCACAATTTTTAGAGACAGAAGGATGTGAAGTCACCACTCCTGCAGGGAAAGGTATCTGCAAACTTGTGTAGCCTCCAGTGGTGAGTTCTGATGCCAAGGTCACTGATCCTCTTCAAAGAAATCTTACGAGAAGGAAGCAGTGGCAAGCAGCAGTAGGGGTGAAATAAGCCACTTTGGTTTGTGTTTGACCGTCAAAATTACATTTAATGAAGAAATCAGTGACACACACCAGGCGAATCCTGTGGTGCACACCTGTGGGCTCCAGCCATTAGGTATTTCTTTTGATGTTGCTTTTAGTTCTCAGGAATGGAAGTAAACACTAAGTGCAAATCCTCAGGCCTAAGACCCATCCCGCTTCCTCCTTTCTGTGGATATGTTAGTGATGAACGAGCATCGGAATAAGATGATATGAGGGGAGAAAAGAGGAGTCTGGCAGAAATGAGACCAGAGGTTCCTTTTGCATCTGTCAGAGTATTTGTTGGACGCCCTAAATCGGACTCTCGCTCAGAGTCTGATTTATATTTTCATGATCTGTGGATTAACTTCACAATCAGTATGTTACATTTTAGTAACGTTCTCTAGAAGTTAGGATATGGTTAACAGTTGCCAAAGCCCAGAATATTACAAAGTATTTTGATTCTTTTAACTTAGTCCAGACACAAGAAGCCAGACTGTATTTTAGGTGTGGACAGAACTATTTGTTTAAAATAACAAGTTCAGGTGAGTTAGTAGTCATAAAAATTAAAATGAAATACCACTTTCATTTCCTCATGTACCTCTTTGCAAATGTCAGACAAAGCAGAGTTTTATAATAGTTTAATAATTTGTGTAACAACGGTGGTTTTGGTGTATCTCAAAAGTGGAGTCTTTAAATTATAAAGGATTTTGTGTGCTTGAAATCCTAGGAAAAGAAAGAAAAAACAAGTTTAAATATATTAACTCGTATTTAAAGAAACATAAATCTTATGAATATCAAGCTATATTTATTGTAAGAATTTTACAGGTAAAAACCAGTATTTATTTATTTATCTTATTTATTTTTTGAGACAGAGTCTTGCTCTGTTGCTCAGGCTGGAGTGCAGTGGCACGATCTCAGCTCACTGCAACCTCCGCCTCCCGGGTTCAAGTGATTCTCCTGCCTCAGCCTCCCAATCTGCTGGAACTACAGGCACACGCCACCATGCACAGCTAATTTTTGTATTTTAGTAGAGATGGGGTTTCACCATATTGGCCAGACTGGTCTAGAACTCCTAACCTCGTGATCCACCTGCCTCGGCCTTCCAAAGTGCTGGGATTACAGGCGTCAGCCAGTGCACCTAGCCAAACCAGTATATATTTAATTAAACCCGTTTTATGGGGAATTAATTAACTAACTCCTAGCAGACAAGGTACTCTGAAGCTTTGCCCAGAGAGTAAAGAGGTAGGACTGGAAGGCAGAGGCAGATAAATCCTGTTAGGAGGATGCTCCCGGCATCTAGTGTTGGAGGACAGGCCTGTTGCTACGCATGCTGCGATGTACAGGACAGCACCTTACACAAAGAATGATGTGGACCAAAGTATCAGTAGTGTTGAGGTTGAGAAACCCTGCGGTGTAGGGCACAAGAGAACTGAAGGGGACTCTAGCTCTTAGCTGATGAGGGCGACTGAGAGGAAGGCAAAGAAAAAATAAATGGCTTTTGTTCATTCAGTTTAGCCACAGTGTGCTTCATACTGTGTGGAGGGATGGGAGTATTCGATTCTACACTCCGAGAGTACTTTCTGTAAATTGTAGGAACAAAAATGGTAGGAACAAAGTTTCTTGTCCCCTAATTAAACATCAGTATGTTTTCAGTGTAGTAAACCACAAAATAAGGTGAATTCTGTAATAGTTTCTGGAACAATTTTTAAAAATCAAATTTGTACAGAAAAGTGGATGAATATTAAACACTACTATCCATTAAAATCACTTATGCATTTAAAATACTGATGTCCAGGCTCCCCACTCCCCCGACCCCCTCCTGCCCCACCCTCCAGACTCTGCTGAGAGGAAATCTGAGAGAATTCCTGCCATAGATGAGTAAAGTGTTTCTGAGAACCCATGCTTTGTTTCTCAAGAAACGACTTAGGCCTCTAAAACCATAGGAACTCCCCTGGCCCCAACCCACTATATTCCTGAGAAAATCATCCAGAAGGCTGAATATCCATCCAAAGAGCTACAAAATCTGAGTAATAATGGTATTTGCTGCAACAATGTAGTGTTTACAAAGGGTCCAAATGTCTATGTTCCTTAAACCCTCTGAGTTAGGTAATTACTGCATCTTTTCAAACATTTCTGAAATGTTCCTTTCAATTATAACAGGATATTCTGTGCTCTGGTCTGAATGTTTGTGTCACCCAAAATTCATATGTTGAAACCTAATCCCTAATGCAATAATATTAAGAGGTGGGGCCTTTAGGAGGTGATCAGGTGATGAGGGCAGGACCTTCATGAATGGAACTGTGCCCTTATCAAAGAGGCCGGAGGGTGCTTGTTTTGCCCCTGCTACTGTGTGAGGACACAGCAGGAAGGCTCCATCTATGAGGAACAGGCTCTCACTAGACATTGAATCTACTGGCGCCTTGACTGTGGACTTCCCAGCCTCCAAAACTGAAAATAAATTTGTTGTTTGTAAATTACCCAGTGTATGGTATTTTTGTTATAGCAGTCCTTAGTCGATGACTAAGACATTGCCTAGCCCTAAAATGTTCCAAGTACTTCACATAACCAAAGGTGAGTCCTAGAACCACAGATCTGCTGGAACCACTCTGCTTGGTCAAGCTACAGGGAAGAAAAGGGCCTGAGTCCCAGCTCCACCACTGTTATCCTGTAAGAACCTGTGTTTTAATTTACTCATCTGTCAAAGAGAGCCGATAATGCCAGACCTAGTGAGACTAAGAAGACAGACTGATTATAGAAAATACCATGAAACAAATCGTGATATGATTAAAGATCACTTCTGCAATTGGAAATGCCAGGTATCTTTATCATGCCATCCTAGACAGGGTACAGCAGCTAACATCTACTTAGCTCCTTTTAAACACTAGTGATAGACACTGGTGCAAAGTGTATTAAAAGTGAAAATTCACAAGGTCCATATAATTCATTTCCCTGCCCTATTCCCTAAACACATTCATTCTATAAATATGCTTTAAAACTACTCACATTTTCACTCATTGTCGTGGCTTTAGATGAAGAATTACTCTTCCTGTTTGTGGAATATAAAAGACAATATTTACTGCATTATCACTTCCAATCTGGAACACATACGCTCTTTTAGTTAATTTTACTTCCATACATTTTCTCAGCAAGAACATGAACATATATCTTAGGTAGAAAACAAGACAAGAATTCTTGCTGAATTCCTTATGTTTACAGACAATATTCACAGAGAAACTCATGCAACAAAACATCAGTGTGAAGCCTTGTGCACGTAAATGTAGCTTATGGCTGGTATACTAAAGAAAGGTTTTTGTGGAATGCACAAACCAGAGACTGACTAACTTTTAATGTAATATATTAACATTTAACATTTTGAAAGCTTGACTATTATAATCTCAAAATTGATTTTATTTTTCCATGGAAAAAGTTTTACATGGTGACTAGCGTTCCAGTCATCCATTTTGTCATTCATCATATTTTGAAGGCCACAGATTTAATGAATGTGAGGGCGTATGTCTAGGAATGAAGTTACTCCCCACCAGATGACTACTTGATTTGCTAGAGATACTGATGGAAGAATAACCTCCCTCACTGCAGCCATGTCACCCTTCCCACTTCACGTAAGCCGATGTCTCCGCTCTGCTCAAAACCTTCCGATTACTCTCTGTGGCACTCAATAAAAGCGGAAGTCCTCACAATCACCCGGAGGTGAGGGGTGGGAAGTAGCAACACTTTCAGGCTACTGTGCCCTTCTGAACTCACTGGCTTCGTTACTGCTAGTTCTCGATAATTTGAACTTCAACCTAGACTTGTATTAGGATCTTACGAGACTGAGAGACCAGGATTGAGCCAGAAATCTGGGAACAGGAAGTCAACGGCAGCTGATTCTTCAAAGGAATTAGGAGATGACAAACTGAAGCCATGGCTTCAGTATCTCTTCTCCACTCGCAACTGTCATGACCTCAGACAGTTTGTCATCCATCTTCTCTCTACACCTATGGAGCCAAAGTTGGGTCTGCCCCATCCGTACATACAAGAAGGACAGTCATAAAACAAGCACAAACTGCAGGGCTTTGGGGAGCTCATCCATATTTCATGTACCAATGACTCCTACCATTCTATTTCCAGTTATTTCCCCAAACTCTAGATGTTGAATATTCAGTTACTTACTGATTACCTCCACTTGGAATCAGATAAGCATATCAAATATTAAAATTCCAAACACTCCAACCTCTCCGCTTATCCCCATCACCACTCCCAAACTCTCTCCTCTTAAAATCTTCCACACTTCCGTAAATGGTAATTCCATCCTTCTCATAACCTTGAAGCCATCTTCGATTTCTCTGTTTCTCTCACAGCCCACATCCAACAGATCAGCAAGTTATTAAAACATTATATCCAAAACACTGTCACTTCTCAGCATCTCCAACACTACTGCTTTCGCACCAGCCGCCGTTTTCTCTTGCCTCACTTGGTGTGGTAGTTTGCTAACTGATCTCCCTGCTTCCACCTTTTGTCATCTCAGTTTATTCTTAACAGAGAAGCCAGTGTGAGTTTTGAAAAATTAAGATGACACCACTCCTCTGCTTAATGCCCTCCAGTGACTTTCTATCTTATTCAGACCAAAGCCAGACTCCTCACAACCGCCTAAAAGGGACTCCATACAGTCTGCCCCCACCGCTACTTGTGTACACTCATCTCTGTTTCTCTCACTCTGTTCCAGCCACCCTGCTCCCGCTGACATCCCTCAGATACTCTAGGCTTGCCTGGCCTCAGGATCTTTCAGTTTGCTCTCTCCCCTCTGCCTGAACGCTCTTCTCATTCTTATTTGCACAACTTGCTTCCTCACTGTCTTCTGGCCTTTCTCAAAAATCCCTTATTAGTGAGATCCTTCCCGACCACCCTATTTGAAATTACAATCTCCACTCCTACCCTTTGTATTCTACATTCTCTTATTCGTTTTACTTTTCTCCATGATACCACCATCTGATATACTATATACTATTATCTGTTTATTTTCTGCCTTTCTCTACTAGAATGTAAACTCCATAAGGCAGAGTTTTGTGGGGTTTTTGGCCTGTTTTGTTCACTGCTGTATCCCCAGTCCTTAGAACAGTGTTAGGCGCAAAATTGGTATTCAATTAATGTAAAAAATGACTGTTAACTAAAATTTTATGTGAAAAATTTCAATTTAGCAAAATACAGTGAATATGTTTTTTTAAATTAGTTTATAGATATGCTTATGAAATCAAATTAGTGACCATTTTTCTTGTCTGGGTAATCATCATTCTCTCTGTACTGTCATTTACAAGTAGGTATGAAGTGTGAAGTGTGATGTTGATAGAGTCTGGATATTTGCCTCGCCCAAATCTTATGTTGAATTGTAATACCCAGTGTTGGAGGTGGGGCTTGTGGGAGCTGATGAGATCACGGGGGGGCGGATTTCTCATGAACGGTTTAGTACCACCCCGTTGATGCTGTCCTCAGAATAGTGACTGAGTTTTCTTGAGATCTGGTTGTTTAAAAGCATATGGCACCTCCCCAACCTTGCTCCCGCTTTTGCCATGTGACATGCCTGCTCCTGCTTCGCCTTCAGCCATGAGTAAAAGCTTCCTGAGGCCTCCCCAAAAGCCAAGCAGTGTTGGTGCCAGGCTTGTACAACTTTCAGAACCGTGAGCCAATTAAACCTCTTTTTAAAATAAACTACCCCGTCTCAGGTATTTCTCTGTTTCTCTCACAGCCCACATCCAACAGATCAGCAAGTTATCAAAGCTTGCTGAACGGCCTAATACAGATGTATTTCTTGATAAACTTGTGTAACTTCTTGGGAGAGTAAACCTACACAAATAACCCAACTTCCCTCTTTTGACTTTAAACAGATGATTAATAGAAAAGTAGTTGACATAGAGGAAACATGCATTGTAGGAAAGTATACTTACTGGAAGGAGGTTTCTTCTATAAAAGAAAAAATATATATCATTAATGCAAGGGTTATAATGGTATGATACAGATTCATATAAAAATGAGTTTGGGTTTAATTTATTTTTATTAATTTTAATCTTGTTGACATTTATACCTTCTAAATTAAGAGTTGGCAACCTTTTTTGATAAAGAGCCATACAGCATCCATTTTAGGCTTTGGGGCCAAGAGGATACTATGTAGGTACTTAAAACAAGAGAGCAAACAAATTTCCAAACATTTTTAAGGGTAAAATAAAAAATATAATACTAATAATAAAAGTCTTGAAAAGCAGGCCTACTAGTTAGAGAAATGGAATTCTTTTGGGGAAGATAACATTTCTCTTTAATTGGGGTTCAAAGTCAGTAGTCCCTATCATCAAATAGATTGTAAATGTTCATCTGTAAAGCCATTTTTGTACACAGGCCATAGAAAAATAGGCGGGGAGGGCAGATTTGGTCCACAGATTTGGTCCACAGGTATTAGTCTGCCAACCTGTGTCCTAAACATAAGTTCAAGAATATGGTTCTCTTGGATAGATTTTTCTGCTAGATGAAAATGAGAGTAACATTCTTAGGTAACGAACCCCTAATATTCAAGTCAACTTTTAATTAATTCAGTACTTTAGGAAAATTTGTTTACTAACTCCTCGTTAAAAAACTCAGACCGGTATTCTTTTAGGGTATAAACATGACGAGTTTTGAAAGAGTCATCTTACTTGTCTGTACTTTCGCTGATGACCAGCAGGGGGACACAGCTGGATTCAATTCATAAAGTTACATTGCAGTGGACTGCATTGAAGCACTGAACAAGTATTAATTGACAGAGCAGCTCTTTTTGTTTGTTTGGTCAGTGTCTTGCTCTGTTATCCAGCTTGGAGTGCAGTGGTGAGATTATAACTCACTGCAGCCTCGACCTCTGGGCTAAGCGATCCTCCTACTTTAGCCTCCTGAGTAGCTGGGACTAAAGGCGTGTGCAACTATGCCTGGCTTATTTTTTATTTTGTGTAAAGAAAGGGTCTCCCTATGTTGCCCAGGCTGGTCTTGAAGTCCTGGACTCAAGTGATCCTCCCGCCTTGGCCTCCCGAAGTGTTGGGAATGCAAGTGTGAGCCACTACACCCAGCCCAGTTATTCTTAATTATAGGGCATCTCTTGGAATCCATGTCCACAGAAACATTTTATGAGACATAATACCTAATTGTAGGTATTATTAGGAACACATTTTATATTTAAGTTTTATTTTGGCACAAAATTTTTTTTTTAAGGCCAGGAGTGGTGGCTCACACCTGTAATCCTAGCATTTTGGGAGGCTGGGGTGGGAGGATTGCTTGATCCCAGGAGTTCGATACCAGCCTGAGCAACAGAGCAAGAACCTGTCTCCACAAAAAATAAAAGAAAATTAGCCAGGCGTGGTGGTATGTGCCTGTAGTCCCAGCTACTTCAGAAGGCTGAGGTGGGAGGATCTCTTGAGCCTGAAAAGTCAAGGCTGCAGTGAGCCATGATCACACCACTGCACTCAGCATGGGTGACAGAGTGAGACCCTGTCTCCAAAAAAAAAAAAAAAAAATTGTTTTAAAAATCGAAATTCCAAAATTAATGTTTGCTGTAAAACCATGGGTCTATAACTTGTATATGCTATAAATTTATAATTCAATTAAAAATTTTATTTTATACACTATTACCAGTGGACCTGATAGAGTGCTGCAGCTTCTGAGCTCTCCAGTAATATTAGAGAGTGAAGAAATGCATTAAGAGAATAAAACATTTTTAAATCTCACCCATTTACATCAAACCTATTGCATCATCAAATGGAGGTGTGAAGTTACAAAAGGTCTAAATTTGAAGAATTCAACACTGTGTACAGAAGTAGTTCTCATAAATACAATAGGTTTCTAGTTTTCACTGAACAATTCTCTTTTTTTTTTTTTCTTTTGCAGCAGAGTCTTGCTTTTTCACCCAGGCTGGAGTGGAGTGGCACAATTTGGCTCACTACAACCTCCACCTCCCAGGTTCAAGTGATTCCTCTGCTTCAGCCTCCCGAGTAGCTAGGACTACAGGTGCATGCCACCATTCCTGGCTAATTTTTGTATTTTTAGTAGAGACAGGGTTTCACCATGTTGGCCAGGCTGGTCTCGAACTCCTGACCTCAAGTGATCCACCCGCCTCAGCCTCCTAAAGTGGTAGGATTACAGGCGTGAGCCACCACACCCAGCTGAACAATTCTCTTCTAAATACAGTTGTCCTAAATTTAACATTCAACACTTCACTGTTCTACACTGATGAAATATTTCACTTATTTATTTCAATGAAATTTCTTTATAAATTTGAAATCAACTTATATCTTGAGATATACAATTCCTAACTTAAAATAAAAAGATATTGGCCGGGCATGGTGGCTCACACCTGTACTCCCAGCACTTTGGGAGGCCGAGGCGGGTGGATCACAAGGTCAGGAGATCAACACCATCCTGGCTAACACGGTGAAACCCCGTCTCTACCAAAAATACAAAAATTAGCCAGGCATGGTGGCAGGTGCCTGTAGTCCCGGCTACTCGGGAGGCTGAGGCAGGAGAATGGCGTGAACCCGGGAGATGGAACTTGCAGTGAGCCGAGATTGCGCCACCGCACTCCAGCCTGGGCGACAGAGCGAGACTCTTTAAAAAAAAAAAAAAAGAAAAAAATCTTAAAAACATGCAAAGATACTATAAATATCTGTTCACATTGAATATCTCTGTCTCGCTGCACTGCACCACTCCAAGGATGCCCCTTGCATATTCTGTGGTACTCCCTGGAATTTGCAACTAGGCAGTTTTGCCTTTTCTCCCTAGGTTTGCCAAGGTGTTTCATAAGCCACCTGCATGTCATCCTGAACATTTTCTATAGCAGAAAATAAATGAACAATATTCTCCAGAGTTTGTTAGAACTTCCTAGGAGAGGGCCAGGCGCGACCGCTCACGCCTGTAATCCCAGCACTTTGGAAGGCCAAGGTGGGCAGATCACTTGAGGCCAGGAGTTCGAGACCAGCCTGGCCAACATAGCGAAACTCCATCTCTACTAAAAATACAAAAATGAGCTGGGTGTGTTGGTGCACGCTTGTAATCCCAACTATTTGGGAGGTTGAGACGTGAGAATCACCTGAACCTGGGAGGTGGAGGTTGCATTGAGTGGAGATTTTGCCACCACTGCACTCCAGCCTAGGCGACAGAGCAATACTCTGTCTGGAAAAAAAAAAACAAAAAAAAACCAAAAAAACAACTTCCAAGGAGAAACAGTATCTCATAAATAAACTCCATAGCCATAGAAAGTTATCTGCCAAAGAAGGGTGAGATTCACTTACTTGAAAAGTAGCCTTTCCTCTGAGCATAGCACACACCAAGGCCACAAACGGAGATCACTAAGGCCACAACTACTACGGCTGCTATGATGCCACTTATGTTGAGATCATCTGGAATGCAAAATAAACTATGCATAAATTTATGTGGATTACACGGACTGATGCAGTCATTAAATTGAAAAGGTTCAAAAAAAAGGTCCCCTTTGCAGCTATATCATAAAGCATACTTTAACGATTTTGAAGCCTATTCAACTAACTCACTTCTAAGACATGGTTCAAAATTGATTAAACATATTAACAGAACTGAAGCTTTGGGAAAATACTAAATTTTAAAAACTTCTCAGATTAAAAAATAAAATGTGTGGTTTTCTTTTGCATTCATTTGGAGATGTGTAATAATTCACAGGATTAAAAGACCGGAAGCGATCTTTGAAGTTCAATGAGTTCAAGTATTCTACTGCCACCCCCTACCCCACATCTTAAAATTCTTCTACATCATCATCTGTGTGAATTTCACAAATAATGAAAAACTCGGCATCAAAGACAGCATGTGGTGCCGGGCATGTTGGCTTACACCTGTAATCCCAGCTACTCAGGAGGCTGAGGTGGGAGGACTGCTTGAGGCTAGGAATTTGAGACCAGCCTAGGCAACAGAGCAAGAATCCATCTCTAAAAAATAAAAAATAAAAAAAATTAGCCGGATATGGTGGTGCATTCCTGGAGCCCCAGATACTCAGAAGACTGAGGCTGGAGGTTCACTTGAGCCCAGGAGTTTGAGATTATAGTGAACTATGACTGCACTACTTCCCTCCAGTCTAGGTGACAGAGCGAGACTGTCTCAAAAAAAAGCACATGTCATTGTTATTCTGTAAAACTAAGTAAGAAATACCTTCCTTTTTGAATTATATGGGTGTGTGTATATATGTGTGTATACAGCCATATACATATATGCAACTAAATTGTCATCCATTTATGAAAAATGAATTAAATTCTCTGAGGCTTTTCCTATGGCTGTTAAGGCATCCATCCTCTAATGTAATGCAACTGGATGTTTTGAACCCAAGTTTGGAAATAATTACTGTGATTCTTCCCAGATTGATTCTGTTGCCCAATAATACATTAATTATAATGTATTATTAATAATATAATTAATAAAAATTATTATTAATAACATAAACCTTCCAAGCTTAACATTTCTGCAAACTGAGAATTTTATTACAAATACTCTCATTCAAGTCATTAATAACATGATGAACATGCATTTGTTTAGGAAAGAACTATGTAACAACAGTCTAGTAGACACCTCCCGTCATACAACACAATTTATTAACATTCTTTGAGCATGGGATTCAACTGCGTGTGGATCCACTAAAACATTGTTTGGACCATATTTCTCCATCTTGTCCATAAGGATTTTATGAGCCACACTCTTCTGCCATTTAGATACTTGCCATGTATTTATTAAAGGAGCAATTCTTCAAAGAGTTCCCATTTTAAAAAACAAGTTTTAATTAGCATATGATTAAATAACCTAGAGAAAATATTAGGTAGCATTTTCTCAAAAATAATTTAAATATTTTAAAGCAATGTACATTTTGGAAATGATCTTTTTAGAGATACTGTTTAAGTGAATCTGCTTATAAAAACTTCAGGTCTTGAAATTCTTTCCTAATGCCAATTGTGTTACTAATTTTCTTAAATACCTCCAAAATATTAATTGATTTTTTTTTTAAAAAAGAAAACTTGATAAATCTTTTGAAAGGTTAAGTAATTTGACCAGAGTAGAAAACATTAATTATTGCTTGGTATAAACTCAGTTTGCTTGGGTATTGAGAGGTCAGTAAGATTCGGCTTTTTATTTACTTGGATTAAAAAGAGCAGATAGAGAAAAAATCTACAGTAATCATAATCTTAGGCAAAGTCAAATCAACAAGTGAAATTCCTGAGAACCAAAGTGTGCCTTCTATTTACTTTGTAGTAGTCAATAAATTTGACATCTATGAAGCGTTCAAAGTAAGGGCTATTATCTGACCAAAAAAAACTGTCTTGTAGTTTATCAATGAATTTAACATCTATGAAGGAAGGATTAACACAAAAAATTGTCCTGTAAGTGCTAAGTCGTGGTATGAATTTTATGTTATTTTTCTTCAATGAAATGGGAGATAGAGGAGTAACAGATTAGGAGTAAGTTAACTTCTTACATCCTGTTCACCATTTTCTGTGATGTTGAGCAAGTCATACAGCCATATTATGCCTCAGTGTAGAGAAAATGTAACATTAAAGATGAAAATATTTTGTGATTTTTTTTTTGAAAAGTCTCTATAAAAGGAAAGTACCATTTTTCTGACTGAAAGAAAAGGAACTAAACTGCTGAAAGGCTCAGTGTGAGTAGAGCCTGCTGGAGTTTTACAGTGAGTCCGTACAAAAAACAACCAACAAATCCTGCACTTTGAAAAAATGTCTTAGGAGAGTTAACATGTTCTAATTTTGGTTACATGTGAAAATAGTTATAATTCACAAAGAAAACCAAAAAAATGAATTTATGAATTTGTATGTATTTCAAAAGATGTAAGTCCCAACCAAGGACGCAAAACACCTCAGATCAATGGATGAGCATTAAACAAACTAATTTTAACTTCTAAGCTAACTTGTATTTAGAAAGAGTAGATATGTGAGAATCACGTCCAAATTAAAGTGGTCCTCATGGAGAAACAAACATTTAAATTGTATTCATTACGTATTTATTGTGTGCTAAGAAAAAGTAACTAATACATCAAAACCATGACTTCCCGGATATGATTCCTTAAGAGAAGGCAAAGGTAGACGTTTAAAGTAAACAGAACCATTTAAATGGAAGGAAAAATAAACAGAAATTGTGCTGGTAGTACAAGGTAATGGCAAAAACCATGAGGACAGGCGGGGCGCGGTGGCTCACACTTGTAATCCCAGCACTTTGGGAGACTGAGGTGGGTGGATCACCTGTGGTCAGGAGTTTGAGACCAGCCTGACCAACATGGTGAAACCCTGTCTCTACTAAAGATACCAAAATTAGCTGGGTGCGGTGGGTGCGCCTGTAATCCCAGCTATTTGGGAGGCTGAGGCAGGAGAATTGCTTGAACCTGGGAGGCAGAGGTTGCAGTGAGCCGAGATCACGACCCTGCACTCCAGCCTGGGCAAGGAGGACTCTGTCTCAAAAAAACAAAAACCAAAAACAACAACAACAAAAGAAAAACCCATGAGGACATATGTGAATAAATGAAACTAAGAAAACAATGCCTTAATTTTTAAACATGTTGTGATGAATTTTTTAAATGATTATTTCAAAGCAGCATTGAAAGGGATACTTTCTGATTACTTAAATAACTGCTATGTTGACTGTAAATGTCAACACCTGAATTAATTTGGTGGCTAATATCAATGATATGCATTCCTGAATTTTAAAAATATCAGAAATTCAAACTTCTAGACCTTCAACAATTTAGACTACAAGATACTTAGCTTTTAATCGAGAGAAAGATTACCCAGAAGAATGTATTTTAAAAACAATTATTTAAAAAACTAAAAACAGTGGTTAACTACAATACTAAGTATTTTTGGCTTATTTGGGAGATGGCTTAAAAACAGCATCCTTGCTTCTTTGCAACACATCATATCAAGTTAATTTTAATCATTCTCTCCTGTTTATCCTTCAAGTCACTCAGACATGTCCTGCTCCTTGCTCCTTCTACCCCCAAATGCTGGAATTCACAGTCTAATTGAAAACCATTTGTTCCTCCCAATATTTCATGCTTACCTACTTGCATTCGTTTCCCAGGACACCTGCGATATCCAACAGAATTGCGGGCTTCACAGGAATATTCTCCAGTATCCAGTTTGGAAACAGTATTAAATTGCTATTTGTGGATGCAAAAATATGTATTTTTAAGCCATAGATGTATAAGTAGACTTTTTAAATAACCCTGTTCCTCAAGTTTTAGCTTCAAGTTTGTCTTTCCCTTTTAAAAATTTGAGACTTTCTATCTTTACTATGAACTTAAAAATCTCCATGACTTCAAGGAGTTTAAGCTAGACTTTCGCTTAATTTGACAGAGAAGAACAAAGATAAAACACACACAGGGAAGTTCCTTTTTTTTTTTTTTTTAACCATGAAAGTAGTACAGTTAGGAAGGCAGTGAGCATTTTTTAAAGTTCATAACACATGGTAGTATTAAGTAGTCTAGGTATTTCTAATTCCTAGGAAACATCATTTATAAATGAAGGGCAGGCCTCCCTGGTAAAAGGGTTAATGCACTTTCCTAAGTCACAAGCGAGTTCACTGCAGCAGCCAACAATAAATACTCCCTTTAAAGAGTCAGTTACTACCAGGAAGTAGCTTAGGGCCTAGGAAAATCTTAATTGGTATCGGTTTATAGGATTGTTGATTCTATAAATTCTAGAATTTTTTTTTAATTTGAAAAGAAAAGCCAGCCCTTGCTCCTTCCCATCCCTGTCAAAGCAACCAAAAGCTAAGACTGATATAATATACTTCATTATTTTTATCAGTAGTTTTATCCCCTTGGAGAATATTTGGAAGGAATGAAGGCAGACAAAAAGGAAGAAGAGGAGAAAAGAAAGAAGAGAGGGAGGGAGGGAGGGAGAAAAGAAAGAAGAGAGGGAGGGAGGGAGAAAAGAAAGAAGAGAGGGAGGGAGGGAGGGAGAAAAGAAAGAAGAGAGGGAGGGAGGGAGGGAGAAAAGAAAGAAGAGAGGGAGGGAGGGAGAAAAGAAAGAAGAGAGGGAGGGAGGGAGAAAAGAAAGAAGAGAGGGAGGGAGGGAGAAAAGAAAGAAGAGAGGGAGGGAGAAAAGAAAGAAGAGAGGGAGGGAGGGAGAAAAGAAAGAAGAGAGGGAGGGAGGGAGGGAGAAAAGAAAGAAGAGAGGGAGGGAGAAAAGAAAGAAGAGAGGGAGGGAGGGAGAAAAGAAAGAAGAGAGGGAGGGAGGGAGAAAAGAAAGAAGAGAGGGAGGGAGGGAGGGAGAAAAGAAAGAAGAGAGGGAGGGAGGGAGGGAGAAAGGAAGGAAGAGAGGGAGGGAGAGAGAGAGGGAGAAAGGAAGGAAGAGAGGGAGGGAGAGAGAGAGAAAGGAAGGAAGAGAGGGAGGGAGGGAGAGAGAAAGGAAGGAAGAGAGGGAGGGAGAGAGGGAGAAAGGGAGGAAGAGAGGGCGGGAGAGAGGGAGAAAGGAAGGAAGAGAGGGCGGGAGAGAGGGAGAAAGGGAGGAAGAGAGGGCGGGAGAGAGGGAGAAAGGAAGGAAGAGAGGGAGGGAGAGAGGGAGAAAGGAAGGAAGAGAGGGAGGGAGAGAGGGAGAAAGGAAGGAAGAGAGGGCGGGAGAGAGGGAGAAAGGGAGGAAGAGAGGGCGGGAGAGAGGGAGAAAGGGAGGAAGAGAGGGGGGAGAGAGGGAAAAGGAGGAAGAGGGGAGAGAGGAGAAAGGAGGAAGAGAGGGCGGAGAGAGGAGAAAGGAAGGAAGAGAGGGCGGGAGAGAGGGAGAAAGGGAGGAAGAGAGGGCGGGAGAGAGGGAGAAAGGAAGGAAGAGAGGGCGGGAGAGAGGGAGGAAGAGAGGGCGGAGGAGGAGAAAGGAGGGAAGGAAAGAAGAAAGGGCTGGAGGGAGGGAAGAAAGGGAGTGTAATCCTGGTCACCTTGAAGGGTCATTGTCTTAGATCCTCCTAAATGGAGGGAGAGGAAGTTTTCCTGTTCTTTTTTTTTTCTTTTTTTTCACTCTATGGAATCATCTCTCACTCTCCTCAAAGCCAGAATGCTTTTAGAATATTCACCATGAACTCGGGGCCAAGGTTACATATAAATAATATGTTAGACTAAAACCCAAAATGATCTTCCAGCATATGATAGCTGGTAATTAAAAGGAAGTCATTGGCTTCCATACACCAGAGCCTTTGTTGTTCATTTCTCACATAAGAACCCATCCTAGTTCAACCCAGGTGCATTCCTTTGACATCACAAGCTATTTCAAGGGTGGAGGTTAGCTGAGGAAAGTGAATCTATCCTTTCAGACCTGCCTTGGGGCTTTTACCGACTACCCTGAGAAAAAATACATTTGAAAAGTAAATATAGCAAAGTGTGACAGCAGGTTTTTCTGCCCAGTTGCTCAGTGTAAAATCACTCAGACCTGCTGATTGTACCTGCTGACTGCTGAGAGGCCAGAGCGTGGCCGGGCTTAAGAAGGAGCTGCATCCAATAGGCTTCATTATTCAGCCACTTTAGCAATTTGCTTTCTTGTTTATCAGAAGATATAGTTTGTAAATGTTATTGTGCACTTGTAGATGAAAGGAATGAAGCATTATATCCTCCTTCCAAAATTCATTAAAATTGACTGGGCATGGTGCCTCCCAATGTGCTGGGATTACAGGCGTGAGCCACTGCGCCCGGCCACGCATTTTTTAAAGTTTATAGTACATGGTAGTACTCAGTAGTCTAGGTATTTCTAATTCCTAGGAAACATCGTCTATATAAATGAAGGCCTCCACGGTAAAAGGGTTCATGCACTTTCCTAAGTCACAAGTGAGTTCATTGCAGCAGCAAACAATAAACATTTCCTTTAAAGAGCCAGAGTTACTACCAGGAAGTAGCTTAGGGTGTAGGAAAATCTTAATCGGTATCATTTATAGGATTATCAATTCTAGAATCTTTTTAAATTCTGAAAAGATAAACACACAGCCTTTGCTCCTTTGCTTCAGGAACCTTGCCCCTTTGCTCTTTTACTGGTCCTTGGACACTCAGCTCCCTCAGTCTCTGTTTTCTCTTCCCATCTCCTGTAGTAGCTCTTTCCATCACTTCTTGGTACAAGTGCTGCCATCTTTCCTGCTGCCCCTGCTTCTCTCCACTTAGCAAGCAATGGTAACACTTCTCTATTCAACATCATCTTAAGTTCTAATAATTTTTTTTGATCCAAATGCAAGACAGTTATAAAGTCAATCTTGAAATGACCTTACCAGAGTTCCAGTTTTTGTGTTCATTGTGTATGAGCTGTTGGTGCTTTGGGAGCCAAGTCTGGGATTTTCTAGCAAACGGATGCCATCCTTAAACCATGTGTATTCAGGAGCTGGATTCCCTTCTTTGTCTTGACATCGTAGCTCTACCACAGTTCCACTCAGAGCAGAAGAGGGTACTTCACATGATGGAACTGCTGGAGCCACTGAACAATGGAAGTCAGATGATATTGGTTATTTATAGGCTAATCAAGGTTGTTTGTTTTCTTTAAAGCTGTTGACTTTGTCTCTATAATCAAGGGTTTTAATAGCCAGGTAAAGATGTGTGCTTACTGGACCCTATGATAGAGACTGGTTACTTGTCCAACAAACCCATCTTCTTACATGCGTACCACATTCAGTGAGACCCATGCACTCCAGTGGCCAGACAGTTCAAAAAAAAAAAAAAAAAAAAAAAAAAAAAAAAACCCATCTTCTTTCTTCATGGACACACAGTGGACCACGTTTCCCAGCACTCTTGTTGCCAGATGGGGTCATATACATGAGTTCTGGCTAATGGAATGTGGGAAAAAAGTGATATATCCCAGTTCCAGGTCCGACTAATTAAAAACCTCCACATGTTTGTTCATATCCTCCACCCCCTCCCACTACCAAGTAGGTGTCAACAACAATGGTGACCTTGGAAAGTCATGTATTGAAGATGTCAGACCTATATTAGGTTGAGTCTCTAATGGTTTCATGAAATAAAATAATATAGCTCCTCCACCACTGTCCCAACTATTTAGGCTTTACTTCAGTGAGAAAGAAACTTATTATGTTAATCAACTCACTGAGAGTTAAAGGCCTATCTTTTATAATAATGAGCATTACTTTAGCTTGTACAACAGCTATTCTTTATTAGATAAACAATCGCTACTGTTTTCTTCAATTGGTTTATTACCAATTATATTTAAAAGAAGCCTAACAGAGAGAGTGCGTGTGCATGTGTGTGTGTGTGTAGATAGATTTTTTTTTTTTTTGAGACAGAATCTCACCCTATAACTCAGCCTAGAGTAAAGTGGCGTGATCACGGTTTACTGTAGCCTCAACCTCCCGAGCTCAAGCAATTGATCCTTCCACCTCAACCTCCCAAGTAGCTGGAATATAGGCTCGAGCCACCATGACCAGCTAATTTAGAAATTTTTTTTTTTTATAGAAAGGGTCTCACTATGTTGCCCAGGCTGGTCTTGAACTCCTAGGCTCAAGCAATCCTCCTGCTTTGGCCTCCCACAGTGCTGGGATTATAGGCATGAGCCACCATGCCCGGCCAAACCTGAGTATTTTTTTCAGGCCCAGTACTCAACTATAAATCTCATTCTGTCTAGAACTGGCCAAGTTCGAAAATACCTGGTCCAGCTATTAGGGTTATTCTGATCTCAGGGATTGAAAAGTAAACCAGACTTCATTAGGTGACCTATTTATTATTCAGGAAAACCCAGAACTGGCTGTATTCTAAGGTGGTCTCCCAAGATTACAGTATTTCTATTCCAAAACTCTAAGGTGGTCTCCCCAGATTGCAGTCCTTGGTAAAAATACACTTTTTTTTTTTTTCCAGTTATTCAATCAAACACTAATCTAGGTACTGTAGTAGAAAGATTTTGGAAATGTAACTGAGGTCCCAATACCATTGTGCCTAAGATAGGATGATTTCATGAATGGGTTTGACCTAATCACATGAACCTTTAAAAGCAGAGAGTTTTCTCTGGCTGGTTACAGAAGGAAAAGTCAGATATGCAAGGTACAAGAAGGAGGCTAGGTGTGGTGGCTCACACCTGTAATCACAGCATTTTGGGAGGCCAAGGCAAGAAGATCACTTGAGGCCTGGAGTTTGAGACCAGCCTGGGCAACATAGCGAGATTGTGTCTCTACAAAACACACACATATACACACACACATACACACACACACACAAGTGGTGTGTGCCTGTGGTCTCAGCTGAGATGGGAGGCTGAGATGAGAGAATCACTTAAGCCAAGGAGGTTGAGGCTGTAGTAAGCCGTGATCTGGAAGACAGAGCAAAATCTTGTCTCAAAGCAACAACAAAAACGAAGTACAAGAATTTGACATGCTTTTCTTTCATTGAAGATGGAAGGGACCATGTAATAAGGAATGTGGTGGCCTCTAGGAGTTGAGCGTGGCCCACCAACTGATAGCCAGCATAGAACAGGGACTTTGGTCCTACAACCACAAGGAACAGAAATCTGCCAACACCAAGAATGAGCCTGGAAACGGATTTTTCCTCATAGCTTGTAGATAAGAACTCAGCCTTGTCAATACTTTGATTTCAGCCTTGGGATACTTTGGGCAGATACCCAGTCTTCTTGTTGGACTTTTGCTGTACAGACCTATTTAGTTGTTATACAACACTAGAAAATGAATAAACTGGCCAGATCTGCTGCAAGGTTTTCTGAATTAAATTTCTCCTGTGCTAGTGCATCACTAGTATTTCAGAAAGAGCATGAACAACATGAAAAAGGAAGGGGAGCTGTTTTAGTGTCTTTGCTTGGTAGATTATACACCACCAATGAAAGAGAAGAGATCGTGTTCCTCCACAAACTACCATCATGAACTGTTTTACTATCTATCAGTGATTCTTTTTATTTATTTATTTATTTATTTGAGAAAGTCTTGCTGTCTCCCAGGTTAGAGTGCAGTGGCATGATCATAGCTCATTGCAGCCTTGAACTCCTGGGCTCAACTAATCCTCTGGCCTCAGCCTCCAAGTAGCTGGGACTACAGGTGTATAACAACACCACAAATGGATTTTTCTTTTGTTTTCTTTCTATCTTTCTTTCTTTTTTTTTTAAGAGAGAGAGATATAGGGGACTCACTATGCTGCCCAGGCTGGTCTCAATCTCCTGACCTCAAGGGATCCTCCCACTTCAACCTCACAAAGTGGTGGGATTACAGGCATAAGCCCCTGTGCCTAGTCTATCCATGATTCTTACAGAAACTAAACATACTGGTTTTGGAGTTAACCCCATCTGGATTAAAATCTTAGTCCAGACACTTTCTAGCTGTATGGCCTTGTTAAATCATTTAAATTCCATTTAAAATCATATTAATGTTAATGAAGATGAAGTAAAATTACTTATGTGACAAGGGCTAACACATATCAGGTACATAATCAATGTCAATTTCCTTTATTTACCAAATGACTTCTAATCCTACCTTCGGTCTACTTTTTTTGTGTGTTATTGCTTCTCTACCATCTCATGTGATACTATTTTAAATGGTTGGAAAAATTGTGTATATGCTGAAAACTACTGAAAAATAAACCCTCAGGAAAGATACTCCTATGTACATTGTAGGACCGCTAGGAATTGCCTCCATCTTTAACAAAGAGATACTTTGTGATAACACGTTACTAAAATTTCAGCAGCCAATGAGGGGATGGGGAGAAATGGCCAAGAGCTTGCCGGGAAGGTGATGCTTATGGTCTCTGTAACTTGACTGGTTGAGGCTCCCAGATGATGCTGGCATGTTCATGGACCAGTGCTTGGTTGCCCCCAGGGCTGTGTGGTGGAGAAGAAGTGAGAGACGTAGTCACACATATACATGCACATCACCTAATACTTCCAGAGTGACTGTGTCCTCTTCCAGGTTTTGGCCTTGCTCAGATGGGGCACTAACTTCACAACGATATTTCCCCGCATCACTTCTTGTCACATTTTTGATCCGGATATTGAAATCTATCATCTCAGCTCGATTTTTAAAATCACCTTTTAGAAAAAGAAGACACTGATGTTAGTAATAACCCAAGTAGCTTTCTGTGTAATACCTTCCTCTAGTCAGTTCATTTAGTAACCAAAGCATTTATTTCCCTATTAATCAACTCAAGTTTAAAGCCTAAAAATTATATATGGATGCTGTTATTTAAATTTTTTCTTTTGGAAAGGACAGTTTTTAAAATGTTCAAAAGGCCAGGCATGGTGGCTCATGCCTGTAATCCCAGCACTTTGGGAGGCCAAGGCAGTTGGAGACAAGCCTGGCCAACATGGTGAAATCCCATCTTTACTAAAAATACAAAAAATTAGCTGGGCATGGTGGCATGCGCCTGTAAACCCTGCTACTTGGGAGGCTGAGGCAGGAGAATCATTTGAACCCAGGAGGCAGAGGCTGCAGTGAGCCGAGATTGTGCCACTGCACTCCAGCCTGGGCGACAAAGCGAGAATCAGTCTCAAAAAAAAAAAAAAAAAGTTCAAAAAGGCATATTTAGTTTTATATTCTCATATTTTAATTCATTTTGACATCTAATTTTAGTTTATTCTACTAGCTTAGTCAAAACAGAGATCAAACTTATTTGGCAGTGTTGTAATGCCTATGTTCAACCTCATACTTCTCACCGAATCAAAATTTTGAAATCTTTATGTATAAGGTTAATAACTGTCAGTTAAGCAGTTCACCGAGCAATTAAATGTTTTTGTCCATACGCAGTCAGATTTAATTGCTGCTGTAAGATAGTCATAATTTCTCCAGTTTCAGTCTAACATATACCTTACAGTACATACCTGCATAGATTTTCTAATTATTTGGATGGCCCTAACAAGCCATTTTAGGTCTTTGCCTTCACTTACATAAAACAGGGATAATAATATCTTTTTCAAAAAATTTACTTTCTAGGTAAGCAGACATAAGGCCATGTGAAAACATTTTGCTGAAAGTCGCTAAACAAACGTGAGGCAAAATTTGTAAGGTATTATCATATTAATTATTTTCTAATATTTAACTGACCTTTTTCTAATTTAACAAATATAAAAATTGCATGTTTTCAGAACTACAAAATTCAGTAGTTATACAAGGTGAATTAAAATAGTAAAGCTGGTCATAATAATGTTTATTCATGCATGTTTTTATTTTATTATATTAAGACATAATTATAAAAATAGGTAAAATTTAGTGAAAGCATTCCTATTTATTCTAGCTTAGGTGGTCTTGCCCATGTCAGTGGATTGTCTTGCACTGGCCACTGCATCAGGTACTCAGACAGTCATATGGCCCATAGATTTTTGTCAACCAGATTTGGCAATACAACTCTGACCTGTCAGTCCATATGCCAGATCAAGCATATTGTCAGTGATTGTGTCTAACCTCTCAAATATGTGCTTTTCAAAAATGAGGTGACAGAGCAAGCCAAGGCTCCCTGCTAGGCAACAAACCCATCAATATCTACGTTATTTTCAACCACAACATCTAGCAGAGAGTTATCCACGTTTCCTTTGTTTGTGAATGTTTCACTGTTGGTTTATAAAGTGGACTGTTATTTTATCTTCCGAGCTGCTCTGGGCCTTCACTGACATGTTTGATTTCTGGCTGACCCCAGTGCTCCCACCCCGTCTCCAAGTGCCCAGCTCCCTGGCAGGCTGTCACCTCCAGCGTGGGCCCTCTGAGGAACAGCTGCCAGCAGGCCTGGCCCCGGAGGCCCTTCCATATTATGTATATAAATTTTATTTTTTGAGACAGAGTCTTGCTCTGTTGCCCAGGCTGGAGTGCAGTGGCGTGATCTTGGCTCACTGCAAGCCATTCTCATGCCTCGGCCTCCCAGGCATCTGGGATTACAGATGTGCACCACCATGCTGGCTAATTTTTGTATTTTTAGTAGAGATGGGGTTTCACCATGTTGGCCAGGCTGGTCTCGAACTCCTGGCCTCAAGTGATCCGCATGCCTCGGCCTCCCAAAGTGCTGGGATTACAGACATGAGCCACTGTGCCCAGCCCCATGTTATATTTTAAAGAATTCAGTTCAAATGCTTGCCTCATTCCCTTTCTAGTTCCCTTGTAAAAATATTCATGTCTTCAGAAAACCAGGGAGTCTGGTTTAATTGGCTGGAACAGTAACTTTATGTGTGGTGGCCCACGTAACACTGCGGCACAAGAAAAGGTGGTTAAAAACATTATTTTATTTTTTGATAGTAACATATTCAGAATTAAAATAGTGTTTTGCACCCGGTGTGGTGGCTTGTACCTGTAGTCCCAGCTGAGGTAGGAGCATCACTTGAGGACAGAAGTTTGAGGCCAGCCTTGGCAACATGGCCAGATCTCATCTCTTTAAAAAAATGTAAAAATTAGGCAGGTGCAGTGGCTCAAATAGTTTTGCATAACGTGCACATGCCAGAAATGGCAACTACAGAAAATTCAAGTGAAGACAGCTGTGCTATTAACATCTTACAGCTAGTAGTCTTTATCTTGACATATAAGAACTCGAGGGGATATTTTAAATTTTCTACAAACTTCAAACATTTTCACTTAATTCTTTAACATTAAAGAAATACATAGTATTTTAAAATAATAACATGTTTATTACACTTGTAAAATTGTATTTCCAGCTTTAGAAATATTTATAATGGAAAGATTCAAGCATACACAACATTAGAAAGTAGAGTGAATTGTACCTCAATGTATCATTGACCAGCTATAATAGTAATCAATGCAGGGTTTATCTTGTTTCATCTGTATCATTAACCACTGGTTTATTTTGAAGCAAATGGAAATTTGCTTCATCCATCATTATCAATGTCTTAAATTATAAGTTCATCACATATTCAATGGCAAGAGTTGGTAGTAGAAAGAAATGTATAACAAAAGAAAGAAAAGAAAAGAAAGTACTTGATAATGGTTGTTGTCACAACCCACTCTTAAGTCTTAACTCCCTAAACTTCTCAGTGGTGGCCTGCCTTTCAAGATGGACTTAAGGAAATAGGTTGACAGCATTATGACTGAGAAGCAACCTTCCACTTCCAAACCACACAATTTTTTAATTCCTTTCTCTCAGGAGCCAGGCAAGTGGCTCACACCTGTGATTTCAGTATTTTTGGAGACTGAGGCAGGAGGATGGCTTGAGCCCAGGAGTTCAAGACCAGCCTGGGCAACATAGGGAGACCTCACCTCATCTCTACAAAAAAAAAATTAAATTAGCTGAGCATACTGGTGTGCACCTGTAGTTCCAGCTTCTTGGGGACTGAGATGGGAGGATAACTTGAGCTCCAGAGGTGGAGACTGCAGTGAGCCATGATCATACCACTGTACTCTGGGCTGGGCAAGAGAACAAGACCTTGAAAAAAGAAAGGAAAGAAAGGAAGAAAGGAAGAAAAAGAAGAAAGGAAAGAAAGGAAGAAAAAGAAGAAAGGAAAGAAAGAAAGAAAGAAAAGAAAAAGAAAAAGAAAGAAAGGGAAAGAGAGAGAAAGAAAGAAAGAGAGAGAGAAGAAAGGAAAGGAAGGGAAGAAAGAAAGAAAAGAAACGAAAAAAGAAAAGAAGGAAGGAAGGAAAAGAAAAGAAAGAAAGGAAAGGAAGGGAAGAAAGAAAGAAGGAAAAGAAAGAAAGAAGGAAATAAGGAAAGAAAGAAGGAAAGAAAGAAAGAAAGAAAGAAAGAAAGAAAGAAAGAAAGAAAGAAAGAAAGAAAGAAAGAGAGAGAGAGTTTAATCTACAGAGCCAATAAGAGCAATTGCATTTTGCATCCTTTATGCCTGAATTGAGAAAGAAGAGTCCAGGGATTCAGTGGGCTTCACCTCCCTCTGTTCTCTGCTTTTGTGGCTATTGTGTTTTATGTCTCAGACGTGGTTGCTTTCATCTCACACTTACAAAAACACGTTTTCAGTAATCAGTCATGTCCTGATCTCATTTGTCAATTAAAGGATCCTGGTTGTACTTGGCATTCTCTTGCTCACACCTCTTCAAGCCTCCAGCTTCTTACCTTGAAGAGTCTGTTGATAGTAGACAAAGGAGACACTCCGACCCAGTTTCTTCCACTCTAATCTGGAGGAAACAGTCTTCTTTGGGGTTTTACAGGCTAAAATAGCCTCTAGGAACAACAATAAAAATACTTGTTTTTCTAATTGTCTCCATGAATTTATATTTTACTTAACTGAGTAACAACATTTTAAACATATTTAAATTACTCCTTTATAGTTTTATTCATTCATTCATTCATAAATTACTTCAACGGGTCCCATGTTGGCTCAATGCAGAGATGAATTGGAAGCCTTCTAGCTCTTCCACATAATAACTGCGTGACACTATGCTTATTTCCCTGGTTATCAAGTTTGAGTTTTCACCGGTAAAATGGGCTAGTATTTCACAAAGTTGTTGTGAGTCTTCAAATGCAATAAGATACGCAAAGCACACAGACTTGGACATAGTAAGGACTTAACAAATGGCAGCTATGATTAATTACGTATCTTATTATTCTCAGTCTCAGTCTTGAAGGAGTCTACCATCTGGTAGAAGAAGAAACTAAGATAATGGCATTTCAGCTCAGTGTTGCTGAATACCAGCTATGTAAATGGTGATTCATGCTTAGTACCCAAGAAAGGCACTTAATCCAGCCCAGGACATGCTGGGAAACCAGAAAAGTTTCAGCAACATGCTATATTCTCACTCAGATCCCTTCTTTGTCGACCTGCTCTACAAATACATTAATACATATCCAACATGGTCTCCTAATAAATCATTGATTTTTACCCCCAAACAACTGCCTATATAACCTTGCCTCAGTCCAGATAATTATTAAAATTTAAATCTTGGCATCAACTGTGACTACCTCAATGTAGCTAAGTGCTTTTATTACAAGAAATTTACTGCAATTGTGTCATTAAATAATTCTTGGAGCCTCCAAAGGAACCCCCTTTTCACTGTCCAAACGAGATGTCTGAGAGAGAAAAAAAAACAACCCAGTGCCAGTCTGGGAACCGCTTCAAGTTGCCAAATGGAAACCTCCAGTTATAAATATTTTTAAAAGTATTTTTTAACCAGGCTCTCTAGAATGTCAACTCCATATTTCTGAAATACTTTTTTCCCACAAGGCATATGGTTTGACCTAAAAAAGCACAGTATCTTTGACCAGAAATTATTTTAAAATCCTTTTCATACCTCTGATTTTAATGTTAAGCAAATGAATGTTAAAAAAGAATGCAGAATATTTAGTTTCTAATTTTTTTCATTCCACACATATTGCTGGACATACAAAAATGGAATAAAAGGTAATGGAAAATAGAAAGTAGGGCAGAGAAAAGAAAGGCAAGGAAGAAAAGAACCAAAAATTGTTTTCAAGGATATCTAAAGTTTTTAAAGCAGGTTTTATATTACAAAGAGACATCATTTTACAGACATGTTTACAATTATGCTACAAAGACAAATGTGTGCTAAGGGACCTGTCTGAGGAAATACAGTTCTGTTCTGTTGATTAAGGAGAATGGGTGGTGACCTTCCGGAGTCTTGAGTTGTAGATAGGTTTCCTTCCGGTATTTTGTGAGTTTCCAACAATTACACACACACCCACACTCATTTTTAGCCTATTCCTCATGTCTTCTGTGTCTTAAGTCTTATTTTACACTTAAATAATTGCATTGTGTTACATATTTAGATACTCACACATGTGCGTGTGCTTGCGTGTGCACGCACACATACACACACCCCTCCTGGTGAATTCTTCCTAATTTCTGTCCTTATTGCGCTGTGGAAAAACCTCTATGAAACTTATACTAGAAAATATAGCAATAATTTTCCTAAGTCCAGTGACATCACTCCAGCCTCTCTCTCGCTGGCCATGTAAAATGTGGAGAAATGGTTTATCCAGTTCATCCAAAATATGTTGAGTACTTACTGTCTGCCATGCATTGTTCTTGAGCTGTATCAGTGAACAAAACAAAGATCCTTGCCCTTTGGAATCTTACAATCCAGCAGGGGAAGTCAGATAAACAAGAAACGTAATAAAGTGAATTACCTCGTATGTTAGTAGATGATGAGGGTTATGAAGACAAAAGAGAGCAGAGCAGAGTACAGGAGGTTTGGAAGTGCTAGGGACAGGGCTACAATTTTTGAAAAACGGTAGCGAGAGTTCACCTCGTTTAGAAGGTGACATTTGACCAAAGGTTTAAAGGAGGGAGAGAATTCATTATATAGTTCTTTGAGAAAGAAGATCCCAAGTAAGGAAACAGCCAGTGCCTAGGCCCTCAGGTACTAATGCTTGATTTTGAACTTCTAGCCTCCAGAACCATGAGAGAATAAATTTCTATTGTTTTAAGTCACCTGGTTTGTAGTATTTTTTAATGGCAACCATAGGAAACAAATGCAGAGAATAAAAATACTGGAATCATGGGGTCAATATCTGAAGATAAGGAAGTAAATGAACTTACAACCTAACTCTCATGAACTCTCTTCTCTCTCTTCAGCCAAAATTCAATACTTATGCCAGCATAATTTTGTGTATCAGGCTTTAGGGTTACTGCGCCATAACATGGAGGTTATAGCAGAGGCTTTGGAGTTAGCCTCTACCGTACACTCCCTATGTGATATTGGGAGAATTATTTTTATATCCACGTCTGTAAAATGATAAAAAGAACAGTACTCATCTTACAAAGTTGTCACTAAGATTAAATGAGACACTATATTTACATGCGTGATGCACATGGTACTACTTTGCATATGGTATGTACTCTGTAAATGGTCATTATTGTTTCCACCCCCTGAGGAATTTCTCTGAGTTATAGTTGCAAGCTTGCCTTTACATAGAAATATATACTTTATACCATCACAAATTTACCCATAAATCACTCCAGTTTGAAATAAAATGTTATCTCTGTAGGAGATAGCAAAAAATATAGATATAAATCATATTTTCTCAACCTAAGGCATATTAAAAACAGGAAAATGTGCCAAGCTTTTCTATTAAGATGATTATTTCATTGCCAAAATATCTATTTCATTTGGATCAAGAAAAGAGAATTCTTTGTTTATAAAAAGCATTAGCAGCAACATGTGGCAAAACAATCACATTTCGGAATTACATAGATAGAATCATTATGAATTTTAATTTTCCTGGATTCTGTACTGCTAATTATCCTTTGATTTCATTCTCAGGGCTCAAGTTAAAAGTCATCAAAATCTTACATAACACAAAAAGAGAACTGATACTACCAAAATAGCTCTGACTTAGCAGAAATTACTTCTGTGAAGAAATGCTTGCTATTAAACTCAGATTTATAGCTTTCAGGTTTAGCATCCCTTTGCAGAAGGCTGCACATGCAATTTACAAGCCTGGCAGAGCTGCCCTGATTTCAGTCTCCTTCTGCTCTTGGCACTATCATGCGAAGTGATACAGCATAGCAGCACTGGAAAGAAGGAATTAATTCATAATTTCTTGACCTCGGAGAAACAAGACATAACAAATGAAAAAATTGGGTGAAACACACATACACATATATACAAATCATAAAATATTGTAGACTTACAGCAAAATTAAGTTACTGCATTTAGTCCTAAGACTAAAATGTAGAAGACACAGAAATGTATTTATGCCTTATGAAGAGCCAAGCTGGAATGATGGGGACACATATACAATAGAATTAAAATGAAATTCTTAATTAAAAAGAGGTGAGATGAAAGAAAACACTTATTTTGGAGTAAGATTAACATTTGATTGCAATACATTATGAAAGGATTTTCTATATTAAAAATAAAACATGCATTAAAAAGTAATGTAAATGGGCACAGGGTTTTGTTTTGGAGTGATGAAAATATTTTGGAACAAGGCAGAGGTGGTGGTTGCACAAAACTGAATCTATCAAATGCCACTGAATTGTTCACTTAAAGACTATGAATTTCAGGTTATGTAAAATTCACCTTGATACAGTTTTAAAACATAATGTAAGTTTAAATAATATAATTTTGGTGTCCTAACTCAGATACTATGCGAGAGGATATACACTCACTGTTCCCAGTTGGACCCAGTATTAAGAACCTCCATGGAAGTGAGAAGTAGAAGTGAACTTCACTTCCTTTGTCCCTCGGGGACATCCTGGTCCATTTTCCCCTCCCTCACTCTGTGCTTACCCTTGTGGCCTTTCCAGCTTCTGTTCTGGCATCTCACCCAGCACTGTTTATCCATCCTGGAGGTGCTCCATAGTCCCAAATTCCCTCAATCATTAATTTCCTCTTCCCACCTCTCTCCTTTAAAACTAACTCATACCAGAGTGTTCTATAGCTTAAGCATATAAAATATTAGAACTTAAGAGAACCTAGTTAACCTAATAATTGTTGAAGTAATTTGTTAAGTTACTCACTTTTTTAATGATGAACTTTAAATTTATTATTTATTTATTTATTTATTTATTTATTTATTTTTGAGATATAGTCTCGGTCTGTTGCCCAGGCCTGGATTGCAGTAGTGTAATCTTGGCTCACTGCAACCTCTGCCTCCCAGGTTCAAGTGATCTCCTGCCTCAACCTCCCAAGTAGCTGGGATTATAGGTGCCCACTACTAGGCCTGGCTAATTTTTTTAGTAGAGACAAGGTTTCACCATGTTGGCCAGGCTGGTCTCGAACTCCTGACCTCAGGTAATACACCTGCCTCAGCCTCCCAAAGTGCTGGGATTACAGGCGCAAGCCACTGTGCCTGGCCACTTTTTTTTTTTTTTTGAGACAATCTCTCACTTTGTTGCCCAGGCTGGAGTGCACTGGCATGATCATGGCTCACTGCAGCCTCAAACTCCTGCACTCAAGTGATCCACCCACCTGCCTCAGCCTGCTGAGTAGCTGGGACAACAGGCATGTGCCACATGTCTGGCTAATTTGTTTGTTTTTTTATAGAAACAGTGACTTCATGTTTTCCAGGCTGAGGTCAAACTCCTGACCTCAGGAGTTTGAGATTACAGGCATGAGCCACCACTCCCAGCCAGGACTGATTCTTACCACAGCATATTTTTACTTAACAAGCACATATAATTTGTATTATGTGTTAGCACTGTTGAAAGCACTATGTGAATATTAACTCATTTAATTCCCCCAACTCCAGACCTTTGCTTTCATCTTTGTCTCTTTCCTTCAAACTTATCTTTCTCCAGTTCCAGGAACCTAAGACATACCTGATGATGAGAGGTCAGACATTTAGGACCCACTTCTTAATGGCCTAAACAAATATTAAATTTAAGAAATAGCAATTCTTCTGATTGCCCAATATTATTAATTATATAAAAGATAAAGGATCCTATGGAAAAGCAGTAGGTGGTCAATATTTCAAATAAACTTATAGGGCAGGTATGGTGGTTCATGCTTGTAATCCCAGTACTTTGGGAGGCCAAGGTGGGCAGACTGCTTGAGCCCAGGAGTGCAAGACCAGCTTGGGCAACATGGTGAAACCCTGTTTCTACAAAACAATACAAAAAATTAACCAGACATGGTGGCCTGCGCCTGTAATCCCAGCTACTTGGGTGGGTGAGGTTGGAGGATCACTTAACCCTGGAGGTGGAGGTTGCTGTGAGCTGAGATCATACCACACTGCACTCCAGCATGGGTGACAGACGGAGATCCTGTCTCAAACAAAATAAAGCAAAACACAACAACAACAATAACAAAAACTTATTAAAAAGCCCATATATAGGTTACTAGTTTCTTTTGACAATTTTTTAAATGTGGCAAAATAAACATAAAATTCACCACCTTGACCATTTTTTACTGTATAGCTCAGCAGTATTAAGTATATTGTTGCACATATAACAATCTCCAGAACTATTTTATCTTGCAAAACAGAAACTTTATACTCTTAAATTAACTCCTCCTTATAAACATTTTAAAGAAGCTAAAATAGATAAAATGGTGCCCCAAAGTAAGCTATATTAATATCATCTTAAATATACACAGAGGGGTTTGTGTTCATTTCTATTTCTCATATCTAGCTGGCTAGAAACTTTCCAAGCTCTCCATCTCCCAGTTTCACAAATCAGATTTGCTTTGTTGCAGGTAATGTAAGTAATAGGAGACCCTCTTTGTACATCCAGTCTTTTATTGAATGTCCAAAATGTCCACTGAGGAGGTGGAGAAAATGTTCTTGAGGTGGAGTCAGCATGAAGCAGCATTTCAGGCAGAGGAATTAGTAGAAGGTAAAGGCAGAGAATCCCAACAAATAGAAAATCACATCATATGAGTCACTCTCATGAGTTATTTCAACAATGCAGCCTGTGAAAATCAGTAAGATACTGTACCTTGGTACTCTACTGCTGTGACCACTTGCTGGTCTTTTGGGGCAGAAAATCCATAGGCCTTATGATCTGAAAGATTAAAACAGATAGGATAATTAAAAATAAACAAAAATTCACTTTCAAATGTCCGAATGGAATGCAATATTCAAGAAAACTGTCCTAAAGTTTGGTGACAGTTTTGCCCAATTCCTAACACATAGTTTTAAAGTATCAAAATAGGAAAAAGCAAACAAAACTATACGTATTTATTTTCTAGATTGTAGTTTTGGCCTTTAAGCATTTCCCAAAGTAGAACCCTTGTATCTATTTGGACCCCACCACAGACAACACGCTCTTGCCAGCCCAATCATTGAAAAATATCTTACATCCTTCATTCAGCTTAATATGCAGTCTAGTGTCACACGGTATTGCCTCACAAATAACAGCTAATTCTTCTTAGTGCTTATTTAAAAGTATAAATAGCTTTATAAATTTATCCCTGACAATACTTATGTCATATAGAAATGAGTCATTTTACATAATTTTGATGAAATTTGTATATGTATATAGTATAATAGATATAAGTTGTATATGAAATTATGATGAAAAATTCAAGCAGAACATCTTTATTTTTTCCCCCCAAAACATTTCAATGATTTTTGAGAACTGGTCTATAGACTAAAGTAACTACTATGGTGGCTACCGCTACTGTGATCTAACAGTTACATGATGCTGCTGTTGTTTATTACCACTCCCTTAAACTAACACAGAAATTTTCATTTAAAAAGGCACCTCTGATACAGATAGGAGACAGAAAGGTGCTGGGTAGGAGAAGGCAGTTCCTTGGCAAAGGCCCTACCCTCAGGCCTGGAGACCCGTGACCCTAAAAGGGGTCAGGCATTCCTGTTTTCATACCCCAAAAGTTGCCTTTTGTCCCACCATGCCCCCTATCCTGTACCTATATAAACCCCAAACCCCAGGTTCTAGAAGCAGATGAGCAGGCAAGGAGACGAGGAGACAAGCAGACAAATGGCGGAGCAACGGGGCAGAGAAAGATAGAAGAGGAGAGAAGTCTGAACACTGAGAGGAGTTCGACTGGGGGTGGTCGGAGAAGTGTTCAGCCTCTGGATGGCCAAACTCCAGGAAAAGATCATCTTCCCACTCCATCCCTTCTTCCAGCTCCCCATCCATCCTGCTGAAAGCTACCTCCACCACTCAGTAAAACCCCGCATTCATCCTTCAACTCCTTGTGCGACCTGATTTTTCTGGGATACTGGGCAAGAGCTCAGGATACAGAAAACTGTCACACTGGCCCTCCGCCCACACGAAAAGGCAGAGGGTCCCTTGAGCTGGTTAACACTCAGGCCATCTGTGGATGGCAAGGCTAAAAGGGCACATTGTAACACACACCCGCTTGGGCTCCTGCACCTGTCCGTCTGCATGCTGCCCCTCCCCTCAGGGATTCAAGCAGCGGCCATCGAAAAGGTGAGCCACACCCCTGTCGCACGTCCTGCGAGGGGGATCAGGGAACTCTCCCATTTCACCTTCACATACTTGCTTTTATGCTGTAAAATTCAATATTCAAAATAACCTAGTGTGGTAGGCATTATTAGTACTAAAGAAGAAAGTATCAATAAAACTTTCTAATTCCATCTTTGATCTAAATCACTTTCTTTATGGATGTCATTCTATACTCCAGTGTAATGACCATGTTTAAAAATAATTTAAATATTTTCCTATAAGTATACATCTCTAAAAAGTAAATGTTACAAGTGCAAGACTGTTGCCTGTTATAGTCTCTGAAATTAACCCAAACACTCAGAACAGTGCCTGGCATAAAGCAAGACACAATAAATGTTTGTTGAATAAATGAGCTCATTCCTTATTGTATACTAATAAGAAAAGTCCAGTAAATGAGGTCAGATCAAACTGACACTGAGGAAGAGTTCCTGAAGGCAAGCAATTCTTTAGGGTAAGTGTTGTAAGTATACAATATTGGATTGGTATTAATTGTTTCAAAGTCAGAATAATGCAAAGCATTATTGTTGGTTGATCTGGTTTGACTGTGTCCCCACTCAAATCTTGTCTTGAACTGTAGTTCCCATAATCCCCATGTGTTGTGGGAGGAACCTGGTGGGTGGTAATTGAACCACGCTGTTCTCGCGATAGTGAGTGAGTTCTCATGAGACCTGATGGTTTTATAAGGGGCTTTTTCCCTGCCTTCACTCTGCACTTCTCCTGGCTGCCGCCATATGAAAAAAGATGTATTTGCTTCCCCTTCTGCCATGATTGCAAGTTTCCTGAGGCCTCCCCAGCCATGCTGAACTGTGAGTCAATTAAACCTCTTTCCTTTATAAATTACCTAGACTCAGGTATGTCTTTATTAGCAGAATGAGAACAGACTAATACAATGGTCATCTCAAGAAAACAATTTAGGCAAAACAATCCAACTGCTCTCCTTCATTATTCACCCAAAAAATTATACATGATATAAGGTAAGACTGAATTAAGCCTATCATGAAAAGCTAAATAAAGTTATTTATTGACTATATATTTCTATAGTTTATTTGAAATGCTATTTCTCCACTCATGCTACCATCTGTCCTCTGTCTTCCTGTGGTCTACTGACCCTGTTTTCATTAAGACGACAATGACCTATCTGTTGGCATATCTAATGGACACTTTTCAGTCTATATCTTACCTGACCTCTCTATGACATGTGACTCTGTTGACTCCCTTGTATTCTGTAACTTGATTCTCTCCTAGTCTTTGTCCTTCTGTTCTGATCCTAGTACTTCATTCTGTCTGCTTTGTGAGTTCTTCTTCCTCCTTGTTCTGCCCATCCATCCATCCATCCATCCATCCATCCATCCATCCATCCAGAAACTGCTTTTCTGACTAAACTAGCTCCTTTTTATAGAGTATTTTATACTCTGATTGAGCCAACTAGCATTTATTTGCTAAAAAGTTGTAACTCCATATCTCCAGCTCCAATCTCTCTTGAAATTAAATCTGTGGGGCTGGCTTTCTGCTGGACATCTGTATTTCCATTTCCCACAATTACCACAAACTCTTGGGCAAAACTCATCAGCTTGCCCCCAAACTTTGTACTATTTCTGCAAATCTCATCCCTGTGTAAAGCATCACATTCCATGTGGCCACTCACACTAGAAACTTAGGTACTGCCCATGATGCATCCATCTTCTCATCCCTTCATTCATCAGCTTCCATCTATAGACTAAGAATTGCGAGTCATCCAAGAAAATGTTTTGAAGTATTTTTCCTTCCCTGTCTTTCCCATCTCCCACCTTTATGCCACAAAGTGCTCAGGGAAGGGATATGGACAGCCAAACTTGAGAGAGAAAAATAGGGTATTTCCTGCCTTTCCACGTCAAAAGTCCCAACCATTACAGTAATGGAAAACATTCAGAATTTAGGCAAACATTTAAGAGAAACCATCATGAGCAAATTACACCTGCTTTCTGGACTTGGAGTACAGAGAAGGAAGTAACTTAGAGGACAAAGACCTTGATGGACTCTTGAGAAAGGATAATAATAGCTAAAATTTATTAAGCACTTGGAGCTTCACAAGTATTAACTCATTTGACTCTTACAATTCTCTGTGGCAGGGTACCATTTTTGCTCACGTTTTTGAGGGTGGGAAAACTGAGGCACAGAAAGAGTAAGAAACTTGGCCATGGTTATATAAGAAGTAAGTGGTGGAGTTTGGATTTGGACTCAGTCAGTACCTAAAGCCCACATAGTTAATTACTGTGGTATACTAGGCCCACACCGTGCCCCAAGATGAACACGAGCAAGGATTGCAGATTAACAAAGATGCCAGGAGGAAAGGTTCATTAGTCCTATGAAAACAGGAGAGTTTAAGAAATTGGTGGTTAGAATGAAGGCAAAAGACTGGCTCTGGAGCACAATAGGAAGGTGGAAGCTAAGAGGCTGAACTAGGAAAGTAGGACACCAGGGTAATCCCAGAGGGGAGGTCTAGGTAAGGGTTTCTTAATCTTGACACTATTGATGTCTGGCACCCAATCATTCTTTGTTGCAGGGGGCTGTCCTGTGCACTGTAGGATGTTTTGCAGTATCCCTGGCTTCTACCCACTAGATGCCGGTATCACCACGCCCCAAGTGATGACAACTAAAATGTCCCTAAACATTAGCAAATGTCCCCTGAAACATGGGGGTAAAGAACTCACTCCTGGTTGAGAACCATTGCTCTAGACTTCCAGTTAGACCAGTTTGAACAACCAGGAACAGGAATAAACCAATAGACTGTAAAGAATGCCAAAGAATCATGAATTCTAGGATTCTGAAAGGTTCCTATAAAATCAGAATTGTATAACTATGAAAGATAATTGATTATACTCCTGGAAAGGAGAAAGAAATCTTTCATATGACATGACATCTCTTCTTTGATTTATTCATCTCTATATACCAACATGTAAATTAGTCTTCTATTGTGCTAGATTTTTTCACTCCTATGCTGTTCTGGAGATTTTTCTTTTTTCCTTAAAAGCCTGGACAGCAAATCTAATTGTGAAGTTAAAATTTGCAAAACTACTTTGAGAGGCCAAGGAAGGAGGATCACTTGAGGCCAGGAGTTTAAGACCAGCCTGCGCAATATAGTAATGTCCCCCATCTCTACAAAAAATTTTTAAAAATTATCTGGGTATGGTAGCACCTGCCTGTAGTCCCAGCTACTTGGGAGGCTGAGGCAGGAGGATCACTTGAGCGCAGGAATTTGAAGCTGCAATGGGCTATGATCGCACCACTGCACTCCAGCCTGGGCTGGACAACACAGTGACTCACAAAAAATTTTTTTTTAATTTGCAAAAGTCTATGGGACACAAATTACTTGATTTCTAGTATAACAGGAAAACCAGTGATATGCAGGTTCGATATCTCTAAATGGCTAACATATTTAACAGGGAAACTAGCAAATATGTTGTCTATGTGAAGAGTACAGGACTGAACTGATTTCTATTGACAGCTGTAAATATGTCCATAGAAAATAGTGACCCATGTGGCTCAATCCTCGAGAGGTGTCAGGTCCACCAAGGAGTAATTTCAAAAGG